GCTAGTATGGCTAGTTTAGAGTGTGTGCGAGAGAGAGAGAATGTGTATGGCAGAAATAATAGGGGATTGAATTGTTGGATAGAAGTTTATGTATGCTTCAATGAAAATATTTCTATACGTTACGGTCGCCTATAAATGTAAGGCAGGTACATTTTTTTGTACCAACATTCGTAAAATCAGCGCAACGATTCTATAAGCTAATCGTTTCCAACAAAGTGTAGGAATAATCTTCAATGTATGTACATAACGAGAATGGATATTATGAACGGACGAATTATCCAGAGGTACACCCTCACGCCACATACCCAACCCCAAATTCTCGATCACCACGTCTGCTACTACCAGAGCCATTCCGAAGTATAGTATAATTACCCTCTCACATATATCAAAGAAATCTCGACTCTGCAAAAAAGCCACTGTGCGAGACCATAGTGACGACTTCGCATCCTCAGTGGACCCATCCTGTGGGTTGTCGGACGCAGCAGGCATGACTGCGATCTATTCTCCAGTGCGCTTACCATCTAGTGCGCTTACCCTCTAGTGCGCTTACCCTCTAGTGCGCTTACCCTCTAGTGCGCTTACCCTCTAGTGCGCTTACCCTCTAGTGCGCTTACCCTCTAGTGCGCTTACCCTCTAGTGCGCTTACCCTCTAGTGCGCTTACCCTCTAGTGCGCTTACCCTCTATTCCGCTTACCCTCTAGAGTGCGCTTACCCTCTAGTGCGCTTACCCTCTAGAGTACCCTCTCTAGTGCGCTCCTCTCTACATAGTGCACTTACCCAATTGCTTTCATAGTATATACAAAAATATGCCTTTTTTAAAATTGTTCGTGTACCTAAATGTAAATTTCAACATTTTGATGACCGTGGTTGTTTCCAAATCAGGCAATATTTTTATCACGGAACATCAGTTTTGTCAATCTGAATCAAGCCCATCGCAATCCGCCAGACAACCTTGTTCGGTTCCAAGTTCAAATTACTACTGCTAGTAGGTCCTTTGTGTTCAACACCCGCAATCAGTCGCTGGATAGAAATACAGCTGCAATCAGTCACCGGATGAAACCATAGCTGCAATAAGCCGGAGTCAACAAAGTTTGGGCTCAAGTACTAACCACTGGAATAGTGGAACCTCGCCCCTCCTTAGTTGCGGGACAAAAAAATACGAATCTATCGCTTCCGTCTCGTGAAACAAGGCGCGGGAAGGAAACACAGCCGCAGCAAACAAAGTTCGAACTCAAGTCCAAACCTCGCCCCTCCTTAGCTGGACGAGGACCAAAGCGTGTGGATCTATCTGATCCGTCACATGAAACAAGGCCCTACTGAAATGAGTACGAGGTTCTACGACTTTAAAAAACTCCTCAATACACAATGCCTTCCGAATCATTTGAATCCAACAAAGTATTGTATAAGTGCTTTATATTCAAAAGCAGACGCGGCTGTGAAACGGGTCCACAGGTCACGTCGTTAATGTTGATAACACGTGATAGCTATAGCCTGCATACAAAAGAAACGCTGCAATAAATTCGAGCAAATTCGATTTTGTACCACCTAGCTTTGTCATTGTGTGTTCCACCACACGAATCTAGATGAGAGGGATTCAAATAAAACCGACGATGTGTATTCATTCGAATACCAGCTATGTGGCAAATGAGGTCAGTGTTTTAACGCAATCCTACGCATTCCTAGTATCTAAAACTCTGGTGAATGGTGCACCTGTTAAATCGAGGGTGTCGTGGTCCGTTTCCCTCTCAAAATAGAAAAAGTAGGAGGTATGTCCGTCACCAGGCACGGAACGTCCCAAAAATCCAACATCAATAAACGTAGTAGTTTTGCCTTGAGCTTTATTACGCGCTGGTCAGTCAAAGGCCGATGTCCTGTTGGGGACAAACTAAATTCCAGATACCCCAAGAGGGTATTCGATTGTACAGTGATTGTGGTCGATGCGGCATAAACACGAGCTGGCAGAGGTTTTACAGACTTCGTGGTGAGAATAAGAATGTATATTGGTATAGCTGTGTACTAGAGTGCTCTGAATGTTGCTAACTATTGTTTTATGTATCCCATCACTGATTTGGATGCAGTCCATCCCCCATGAACCCAAACTGCTGCGTGTATTCCCGTTGGTAGTCTCCGTGCTGTTGATTGTCCTGCAGTTGCTGGACACCCCTGTACTGCATGCTCTCTTGTAGTTGTTGCATATGTTGTAACTGCTGTTGTGCATCCATGCTTAAACTTCTATGCCTGCTCGTGTGCATCACGTTGTTCTGCTGTAGTTGCTGCTGTTGTTGTTGTTGTTGCTGTTGCATCTGTTGTATCTGTTGTTGGAGAATGTTCGCACGTCCCATGTCATCTTCGCTCTGCGCCTGAATGTGCCCTTGCAGCTGCATGTATGCCTGATTCTCTTGTCCCTTCATTCTATCATGCTGTCCGTTTACTAAATTTTGTTGTTGCATTTTGTTGTGCATCGCCATCTTATCCCTGAAATCCTGTTCTTCTTTGTTCACCATTCGCATCTGTCTGGCTTGTGCCTGTTTCATATAACTAAGTTCATCAGCCGCTCTTCTCTGAGCCTGAGCTTGGGTCAACTGTTGCTGAACTTGAAGTTGTTGTTGCTGCATTCTACCTTGTTGGTGACTTTCCAACAAAGCAAGATATCGCTCTCGCTGTGTGGCCTGCTGTGCATTCACTGGTGGATTAATATTATGTGGCTCGAGACTATAGGGCGTACTCGAATGTCCAGTACCTGATCCCAGCTGTACCATAGAATTTGAATTGATTTTCATGGCTTGCAGATGAGATACGACAGCAGCGTCTTCGAGTATATTCGACGTGGAGCTATAGTTGCTGTGCCCAGACGTAGTCCCCGCACGTGACCGTCTCACAGCCGGACCACCGCTAAAAATACTCACGTTGTTGAATATGCTTTGATTATTATTGGAACACATGCTTTGCGCCATAGCTTTGCCATTCTGTACTCCTTGAACTATGGGTGATGGATACAGTTCTACACTTAATGCTGAAATGCTGTTACCACGCCCATTGGCCCTTCGACTTATGTTCCCTGATCCGATCGCACGCATCGACCCGCCCCCTGGAGTGTTTGTATCATTGTTAAGCCGATTGGGTATACCATAGGGTGTCAGTGCTTTACTTCCCCCCCCTATCCTACCTGATAAGCTAAACGTTGGTGTAGTGTGCGTCGTGTGTGAACTACGCCGGCGGGTACCAGGTGTGTGTGTCTGTTGTAAGTTTTGTATTTGCTGCTGTTGCAACAGGTCTTCCTGTTGTTGCTGTTGTTGTTGGATCTGTTGTTGAAATCTCACCTGCTGTTGCAATTGTTGTTGTTGGAGTTGCTGTTGGATAAGTACATTGTTCGAAAATCCAGAGCTATTCGGTTCGAACTGTCCGTTATTACTAAATCTGATACTGTCATCAATACTCAACCCATTTATATCTAAAGTTCCATTCACGCCAGTAGAGTGTGTGACAGTCAACCCATTCATATTGCTGTTGCTGTCTACGTTCGAATTCAAGTTCATAGTCGTGCCTAAATCTACATTCACTCCATTCATATTTGTACTCATTCCCGTTCCTAATGCTGCTCCATAGTCGCTATCCACCCTTGCAGTGGGAAGTTCAGTATTCTCGAAGCTCACCTGGGCTCTCTCAAACTCTTCCTTGCCCACATAGAAATCAAATTCCATACACAGGGTTACATTCAGTTCCATCTCGTTAATACTCTGCAACGAGCAACTCGACCATGTACTCCACGATTTGTTCGAATACGCTGAATCGTGTATAAACTTATTTGCCAAAATCAAACAAGCCAGCCATGTGCAACTAACGCACCACTCCATAACCTGACATGCCCACAGAAAATCGGAGTATGAGCCATTATACCGCCTAGAGACCTTGGAAAGTCCAAGCCGGTTTGCCTTCTCCGAGTACTTCCGTATGATTACACTTGTGAGACGATCCAGATATATGCTTGTAACTATGAATGTGGGCATAGGCATACTGCCCTGTTTGATGAGATCCCTATACTTGGGCATAAACTGGCCAAGCAATGTGGAATGTTGCTCACACCTGTGTGGGGCGCGGTTCAAGACTGCACTCGGCAGCGTCCCCTGACCTCCAGCATCCGATCCTTCCACTGCGAGAGGGCCACCCGCCAGTGCTATCTGTGCCAGAGTCTCTTGTTGCTGTTGCTGTTGCTGTCGTTGCAGTTGAAAAAGCTGCATATCTCTGACGTGATTGGCATCTATGTTCGGGTCACTTAATCTATGCGGGGGTTGCGCAGGTCTGTTGACAGCACGGATCATACTAGTTGATTGAGCACCGGATGCGATTGTGCTATAAGAGTCCTGCTGTTGTGGCTGCTGCTGGTAATTCCGACCACCATCCCCTTGTTGTACATTGAGGTGTTGATCAACGTCGAATCGAGTAGTCTGTTGAGATTTTCAATACCATTCTCCATGAGCTTATAGTTTAAGACATTGTATATGTGAGTGAATAGATTTTAGACAACGTAGATGCAGTGACGAAGGTTCATATGACAATACACTTGCCGACCTGGTTTTTTAGAAACGCTTTCGATTGTTAAGCTAACTCTTGTTATGAAGTAAACCACCTCCACGTACGACATAACCAGATCACACACGTACAACCAACGCACACCGCACGAGGCTGTACAAAAATTCATACGAGCCGACGGTCTCTACAAACATTTGGTGTGCTGCCTTTTATGATTTAGGGACGTACTTCAGCGTACACGACTCCAAGATACACAGTGCAAACGTAAGAGAGACAACCACCTTCAGTACACTTCTTGAGCTGTGTGAAATTGAATATTAATGTGCCACTCGCGCCATGTCCGATTATTAGGTGGAGCCCAAAGTAAGGAAATCTTACCAATTGATTAGAATGTAGATCAAACAAGAGGACGCGAGTACACGCAATTTTAGTCACTAATTCAACCTACTGAATGATAAAGTAGACGTATAGCACAAAATGCACAGGAAAACCCATACATGTACACATGCGTAAAACATCACATGTGTACACATTCGTACATTCTATGTGTACGTATGCCGCTATTAATCATCCGTCCAATATTCATTCAGTGTACACATTTAACAGCTATGAGGACATATGCGAAACTTGTGAATACTGTACCGGTGATGAGCTTCCCTAGAAACTGTGCCCTCGCAATATTTTACATCTATGCTCGTATAAGCTACTCCTACTCTTACAATTTATTTGATCGACTTCCTCGATAGCTCAGAATTTGTGCGATCACCCTTGCCTCGATGGAGACAAGAAAGAACTAACATGTAGCATGGAGGGCAATAAAAAAACACAACCAATAGCAGATCGATAATCAAACCGAGCAGGGCAAACATCTCTCATACAATTTGGGCTACCTTGACACAACCGCGCAAGATATTATGATTGTCCCGGGTACTCGGTCAATCTAAAATATACCGGTGACTGAACCCCTAAACGTAATATATACTGTGGACCAACCCAAATTCCGGGGAAGCACAATGAATACAATCAAATAAACATTTGTCAACAAAATAACTTCATACTTGGAGCTCGCTGGAGTTCGCTCGTTGATAGGAGAATTCTCGAGCAGGTTGTGTCCCGTCCCGGTTTCCCATAGACACCCAGTCAAAACTATCCATGCTCTTCATTCCCCCTACGCCAGAACTAAGCTCATTTGGAGGCCTTGCATTCGACTCGAATATTGATGGCGGTGTCTTAAAGTGTGTAACGGCTGTACTACGAACATCCAGTTCCGACGGGTTTGCACTTCCGTCGCCAATAAGATTGTTTGGGTTCGTGTCGGCACACTCAATTGCATGGGGATAATGTTGAGCCACATTGGACTGAGACCGCTGAAGATTACTCCTCGTTCTACCACAATCTCGATCCATCTTATGCAAATTATATAATGTACAGCCTGTTAAACCAAGGCTAGATGGTCCACTTTGTTTGTGGTTCAAACCATCGTATTCAAACCACCCTCGAAAACGACCGACGATATCCATTCAAATAAACACTAATAAAATATGCTAAAGTGCGCCCACCCAAGCACAAGCTTATTCGTATCACTAAACTACAAAATCTACTTATTAGGTTTGTTTCATATGCCAAACGGAGCACATTGTGAGATTTTCCGAGGAGAAGAGGTAACTTAAGGATAAATGAAGCACAAACAACCCATGAAATGCTTCTGCTACCACTAAAGTAACCACTGGCCCACTGCATCATACAATTATACATCATGTGCCTAAAATTGGAATATTGTTGTGTGTACGTGACACATTGCTGATTGAATATTGATATTTTTTTAACACCGAAAAATCTCTATTTCTAAAAACAAAACACCACATGATGATTTTAGATTTGGTATTCTAAATGAATGGACGAGGAGCAGCGGACGTTTTTAAATAACTTGTATATATTTTATATATAAGAACATATGTAAATAAATACTGACGTACTGCAAGGGAGTGCAGGTCGGCAGGACTGGACTCCTGGAGGCTGGAGCTGCTAGACTATTCTATTTATTTTATAAAAACAAAAGTTGTTCTCTTATCGGGGCGGGGGTTTTTCTGACAAAAAAACGAAATAGACAAGGTGATTTCACTCATTGCAGTGATTTCAATGATTCCAGTGATTCCACTGAAGAATCAACACCGGGGGACAGAGTCGGCCAAACAGGCATGTACTAATAAATAGCTATTATGCAATCTTTATGGAATATCCCTACTCTCTTCTCGATAAAATTAAACCCATCACAACTTCTGTTTCTGTCTAGAAAAGCATATTTTTAAAATATTTGTATTGCAATACAACATAAGAGTGTTTTTTAGGAGGCTATGCATAGAGGCTTTTATTTATACATTTATTTCAAGAGAGAGAGCTTGCGCAAAACAAAATGAGTTCTCGGCCTCGCTCTTCAGCTCTCTCTCTCGCTCTTGTGCTCGGGTAACGGACTCACGAGTCACGGCCCCACGGCCGGCCACGGGTGTGTGACTGTGTGCGCTGTCACTGTGCACTGTGCAGTGGGCCAGTGGTGCACACAGCCATACACACTGCACAGACACAGTCAATACTCAAAAGTGTAAAGTGAGTTAGTGACCCCAGGGCAAAGCTTAATAAGTTATAGAGGTACGGAATATAAGTTCCAACTTTAATGTTAACCTTTTGATTTTTGAAAGTTATAACTTATATTTAGGACAAATCTACTAAAGTTTTTGTTTTGAAACTGCACTCAATAAGCTGACCTATCGTTGAAAATTTTAGGCTACGAAATTGATAGTATGCAATCAAAGGAGATTGAGCGTTTCAGTTGTGACGACTGTCACCCTGAGTGACCTGTAAAATGCACCTATCATATATGAAAATGTGCTATAGCGATATAAAAGTTGCAACTTTAATGTAAATTCGAGGCATAATAAAAATTGTAACTTTTAACGCATTGAGTTTAGCCGCAGGGGCCCAGTGTACAACTGTACAACTGTAAATACACTGTACAGTGTATAACTACAACTGTATTTACACAGTATAGTGTATAGTGAGTCAGTGACTACTATTTTTTTTTCTTCTTTAAATATCTGTACATTATACACACTGGGACTCTGGGCACAGTCAGAGTATGTATACATTACTACGCCCTAAAACCTTACTCCTGCTCAGTCCCTCCTCAGTCCCTCAACAAAGAGGCTAAAAACGTTACATATCCGACGTGTATATCGTTTATTTATTTGTTTGTTTGTTTTCTAAATATATTTATAATTTTAAAAAGTATTGATTTATGTTCAACCTTTAAAAAAAAACAAAACGGTCTGCTGGCACTAACAAAAAGCTTTTAGCTATCAGGTCCCGAACTATATTTATTCCAAATAAGGAGGACCG